GGCGTTTCAATCGTTGAGGGGGCCACTTAGGAATCTGGGGCAAAAATCAGTACTTGGTCCTGCTAGTAAAGGCAGGGGGCTGGACTCAACGTCCCTTCCAGTTCTATGAGATATAGGTATATCTCCATATTTTATTTATTTGTTTATCCAAAATATGACCATGGCTCACGATACTCACCAATTGCCCTGAATTAGTCTCAATTCCTTGCACCCTCCTCTGTCCAGATTAATTCAGTTTTCCCTATGCCAATCAGACAGTTGAGGTTTGGCTGCAAATCATATAATTGATGCCTTTCCCTATTGCCTTGCTCCGGTATCATTTACTATATTATCTAGAGAGGGCTTTGCTGGACTGGTCTAAACGGCCTAATGACACCTCTAAATGTGGGACTGGACTAATGAATTTAGTGAGGGGGGGATGCCATGCGTTCAAATTCAGTCTGGATCAGTTGAGACTAAAAGTCATTATTACGTTGACAGCTGTTCAGTGGAATGAGTTTGGTGGGTCTCAACTCTTAGTCAATTTCCAATTAATAAGTGTCCCTCCATCACAAGACCCTGTCTCAGAATGGACACGAATTGGCCTTTTCTTAGCAGTCTCAAGAGAGAGAAAGAGACCTCCGGCCCCTATAGCTGTTTATACATCCCCTCTCACCAACGCTTACATTCACCAGGATATTTTTTGAAGGCTTCTGCTCTCCATCCTCTTTCCGTGCACAAACGCCTTCATCTCCTGCACTGAGGTGCACGCCTGGTTTAAGGCCTAGGCCTTTTCCCACTGACATCAAGAGCAAAACTCCCCTGGACTTCAATAGGGCCGAAGCGAGCCCTTGCTAATTGATGCATCCCTCGCATTTTGCTCGGGGGATGGAAAGAGACAGCCAGCCTTCTTCAGAAGCAGCATGTGGCAGCCGGGAGTGAAAAGGTCGCAGCATGCTGCAGGAAACTGAAATCCCCACCAACTGGCTGCGTGGAGGGACAGCACAGCTTGGGTGCGAAGCCCTTAATAATAACAACCATACTTAGACACTTCTATAGCATGTTGTGGCCCCAAGTCTGTGCTGTGGAGCTGCAGCAGAGAGGAAGCAGGCTCAGGAGAGGGGTGGCTTTAAGCCACCTTTTATCCTGCAAGATTTTGGGTAGCCCGATGGGTCAGTGCAGCTCCTGGCGTAAGTAAGAACAGCACCGGGACTGCTCTAATTCACAGTATCTGCCCCTCTGCCAGAGCACAGAGCGCGCCTCGACTTCCCCTGCTGTGCCCAGCACGCTTCCTTTGCCGTCTCTGGCACTAGGAGGGATGGGAGGCCGAGGGAGGCCTGCCTGTGCAACCCTCGGCTCATCTCGGCGCGAGGTAGAACTTTCCCAGGGGCTGGTCCAAGATTATCTCACACCTCCCCACTTTCTGTTCCAGGGACAAGGCGCATTTCTTTGACCCGCCTTCTCTAGCATGAACCCAGAGCAATGTGTCTATTTTCCAAACAAAACAAAACCCAGCCACGCTATGACACTCCGCTGCACACGCTTCTGCCCCTGGGAAGAGGCAGGGAGAGGAAAGGCCACGATGCTAAATGAAGTAACTGGAAGGCGCTTGGATACTACAGTGATGAGCAATAGAAGAACCTCTATAGCACAGGACAGAATGGAATAGACCAAAAGCGTAGTTCCTCGGGAGGGGTGAAGTGATGTCGTTTATTGCTGGTGGCTTGTCCCCTTTGTTCAAGCTCAGCGCCGAATGCAGTAGTATTTTTTAAAGTGAATCAACCCATCCCCAGCACGCGCGCGCACACAGACGGACACACACAGGTTAAAACCTTTCCATTGTCCTTTTTAACCCCTCAAGTCTGGAGTCTCCCGCACTGCAATATTTCCCAACCTTTCCCTCAACATCTCCCATCCGTTTCCAAACAGATCCAGACAACTGGACCCTCTACGTCTGACATCAGTATCTTTAGCAAGTTCATTAGGCCTCACGACAATGGAGGAGCTGCCCTGGGTTTGACTAAAACAGCTCCAAAGACACGGCGCCAGATTCAGATCATGCATAAGCAAGCCCAGGACCACTGACTTCCATGGAGCTTGCACTCATTTACCCAAACTGAACTTGGCCCAATACATTCCAGTGTTACGGGGCTTAAAGATGCTTTTCTGCATCTGACTAGGAAAGGGGCTAGTATAAGTATAACCTACCGGTTCAGTGGCCTACATACGAGGATAAGAGCCTACTGTTGCTGCCAATTAATGGCTTTACTCCTTTAGCTTAAGTGGCAGAAGTCTGTGCCTTTATTCCAGAGGGTCTTGCGTTCAATCCCCAGGGATGACCCATGTGGCGGCTGGGAAGTCATTGCAGCGGGTGACTCATACCCAAAGACAGACTTGGGTACACAGTGCAGGTTGCCCTGAAAGTCGCGATGAGACAAGGACAGCGATCAATTGTTCTCCATGCCCCAGCGAGGATACGACAAGAAGGGATCGGCTTGATTTGCAGCAAGGGAGATTTAGGTTAAATATTAAGAAACACTTTCTAGCTCCCAGGGGAGTGAAGCTCTGGACTAGGCTTCCAAGGGAGGTTGTAAAATCCCCATCACTGGTGGGTTTTAAGAACAGGTTGGACAGACACCTGTCAGGGATGGCATAGGGAGGGATAGCTCAGTGGTTTGAGTGTTGGCCTGCTAAACCCAGGGTTGTGAGCTCAGTCCTTGAGGGGACCGTTTGAGGCAAAAAATCTGTCTGGGGATTGGTCCTGCTTTGAGCAGGGACTGGGAGTAGATGACCTCCTGAGGTCCCTTCCAACCCTGATATTCTATGATTTAAGCCTGCGGGTGGATGGGTTAGATGTCTTCTTCAGATTCCTTCCAGCCCAACATTTCTATGATTCTAGGTACAAAAGAATGGTACCAATCACTGTGAGATATAAAAGGGAAACTTACTGGAGGGGAGGAAAGAGCTTTTCCTCCGCAGAGAAGACTCATGGCTGGGCATTTTCTAAAGATGGGGGTGAATCCTACAGTCCTCGCTCGGGCAGAACTCCCAGACAGCAGTGGGAGTGAAGCCTCAGCAAAAGTCTGCAGGCTTCGTCTCTCGTGGGGGCACAGGCATTCTTGGAAATTCACTATAACAGCTTCAAAAGTTCAACGCTGAAAGGTGAAAATAAGGGCCACAGCCAAGGCCAGATTTGCAAAAGAGCCCATCACCCAGTCCTCAGGGCCAGGTTTTTAACGGCCCCCTACTCTGACCCTCAGCACCCAACATGCTGGGAACTTTAGAAGATCTGTCCCCAAGTCACCAGTGCAGGAGTCTGTCTCCTTCCATCTCATCACTTGCCTGCAATCCCAAAGGTGACAGCAAACAAGGAAGTAAAACAGGTGGCATTTCTGTGAGTCATTGAGAAATCTAGCAAGCAACCCTGTTACACCACTTCAGCAGCGTCGGGGATGAATAATGAGACTTGAATTACCTAATGTCAAAAGAGAGACCGTGGTGTGCAGGGGGGTGTGTGGTGTGCGGATGAATAGCCGGGTACAGCCTGAGAGCACAGAGGTGTGTGTCTGAGAGGGGGGCCCAGAGAAGGAGAGAATTGGTGGGGTTACAGGACTGTGTCCTCTGTAATATTCCACTGTAATATTTGATGGTCGATGGCAGGACAACGGGTGCCGTCGAGAACCGACAATGCTGCTGCTTCTGATCTTCTAATTCCCCTTTCAGATGTTCACCCACCTACTCGGCCCAGCCCGCCAACCTGCTCCACAGGAATCAGAGCTACTTCCGGAGGCAGGTGCAACGCGTGCCACCCCATAGAGACTTCGCTCCCCAGACCCTCAGAATGCAGGAAGGAGGGAGAGAAACAGACGCTTCCCCGTGGAGCTATTCCAGAAAAGCCGTGATCTCTCCTGTCCCATCTGACCCCTGATGACAAGTGCCCTCCACCCAAAAGGCAGCACTCAGATACTGGGTGATTAGAGAGATCACCTTCACCAGTCACTAAACCACTTAAGTTCCCATCACCCGAAGCCCCAGCTCAGAGCGTATTATGGACGCCTGCCTGAGACGTCACACAACTGAGCACGCAGAACCCCATAACACCTTGATGCAGTCCCCATGCCTCTCCAGCCAGGCTGGTCCTTGCTCCTCACGCTATTAGCTCCCGTTTCTCACTCATTCACTTACAAGCCATTTTCTCTCCTGTGCCAATCCCAGCCTGTTCCTGGGCCCGGCTGTGAGTATACACAGACACACCCACCCACTCTCTCTTTCTCCCCATGCTCTGCCCTAGATTCTTCTTGCTTCCGTGGTCCCCTCCACAGGTGACACAGAGGTCCCCTGAGTTTGAGCCGCCGGACCCAAGGGATCGGGTTAGCCGGGAGCTCTTCCACAGTGGAGCTAGAATCCTTCTCTTCCCAGGCCTGCTGTGAAGAGCCCCCATGTAGACACACCTCTGGGCCATCTGCCAGGCCTTCACCTTCCACCTGCCCACAACCCTAGGCGACACATACATAACTACATGGACTCACCTGAACCACCAGATCCGCCCATCTTCCCTGATATTTTTGGTGGGGGGACACAGCTCTCCAGATCACCCACATTGCTGCAGGCTGCCGTGGGGTCCCCCCAGATCCTTCCTATTATTGCAGGGGGAAGCCCATTGAGGGAATACCCCCCCCCATTGCTGACTGCAGAGGAGACAGCTTAATGTGTTGGGGGGGGGGGAATCACCCTAGGTCCTTCCATTATTTCTGAGTGTGGTGGGTGCGGGGGAGGCGCCTGATTTTAGCTACGAGCCCCCCTCATTATTGCAAGGCTGGTGGGGTGGGGGCAGGCTCTCGACTATTGCGGGAGGAGGGATCCCAGTTGGGGGGGACCCCCGATTCCCCCGTCCCCCCGTTAATACAGGTTGCCCTGGGGGTCGCTCGCCTTAGATGGTCCAGTGGCGAGGCAGCCCAGCCCCCCAGGACTGCACCCCCCCCCCCAGCTACGCCCTTCGCACAGCTCCCAGGGGGCGCGGCTGCCCCCCCCCTCCCCGCGGTGCATGGGGCGGAGCGGCCCGGCCGAGCGCTCCGTGCAGCGGGATGCAGCGGGCCGAGGCCCGGCCACGTCAGCACCCCGAAGGGGCTGCCCTGGGGGGCGGAAGCGGCGGGGACCGGGCAGCTGTAGCAGCCGCGGGAGCCATGGACCCCACGAGGCTGCTGGTACGGGGGGCTGCGGGGACGGGAGCGCGGGCGGCTCCCGGGGACCGGGGCTCCGCCAACTTCCCGGCCGCCGGGCAAAACTTTCTGCGCTGGCAGCTCCGGGGGCAGAGCCGGGGAGGGGAATCCCGGGCAAGAGCCAGGGGGGTTCCGGGAGGTTGCAGGGGGAGACCCCGGTGCGGGGAGTCCCAGGAGGCAGATGGGGACGGGGGGGGACAGCGCTGGGGAAAAGGGCAGTGCCAAGGGGCTGGAGGGGAGCCTACTGCAGCAGCTGATCTCAGGGGGCCTGGGGCCAGGTCCCTGTGAACCGGCCCAGTCCCGGTTCTGGGGCCAGGCCCCTCTCTCAGCTCCGGTTCTGGGGCCAGGTCCCTGTGAACCGTCCCAGTCCAGGTTCTGGGGCCAGGCCCCTCTCTCGGTTCTGGGGCCAGGTCCTTGTGAACTGTCCCAGTCCCGGTTCTGAGGCCAGGCCTCTCTCAGTTCTGGGGCCAGGTCCTTGTGAACCGTCCCACTCCCAGTTCTGGGGCCAGGCCCCTCTCTCAGTTCTGGTTCTGGGGCCAGGTCCCTGTGATCTATCCCAGTCCAGGTTCTGGGGCCAGGTCCCTCTCTCAGCTCTGGTTCTGGTGCCAGGTCCTTGTGAACCGTCCCAGTCCAGGTTCTCGTACCAGGCCCATCTCTCAGCTCTGGTTCTGGTGCCAGGTCCCTGTGAACCGTCCCAGTCCAGGTTCTGGGGCCAGGTCCCTCTCTCAGCTCTGGTTCCGAGGCCAGGTCCCTGTTATCTATCCCAGTCCAGATTCTGGGGCCAGGTCCCTGTGATCTATCCCAGTCCAGATTCTGGGGCCAGGCCCCTCTCTCAGCTCTGGTTCCGAGGCCAGGTCCCTGTGAACCGTCCCAGTCCAGGTTCCGGTGCCAGGCCCATCTCAGTCCTCTCGGCCCAGGTTCTGTGGTACACTTGGACTTGGACTCTGGAGCAGTCAGTGCATGACAGAACTTGGGTTTGGATGGACCCTTTCGCAGACCACCCCTAGCCCTCAAATCCCCTCTGGCCCTGGGGCTCCGGCATGGAGCGGGGCCTTTGGCTTCACAGGGATGGAAGTGAATCAGAACAAGGCCAGGAGCAGAGTGCCAGGCTTTCTGTGCGCTTTCACTGGGAGGAAACTGCTGTGGCCCCATTTCAGCCTCAAGGGGTCACTCGGGGATGGGGCAGAGGGGTTGCAGACCCAGTCCTGGGGCACGGGAGGCACCTGGGTTCTGGACATACCTTGGGGGCTGCTAGATGCAGCCTCTGGCTTCACGCTGTCCTTGTGTCAGTTTCAGGAGCCTTCCCTCTACACAGTCAAGGCCATATTCATCTTGGACAATGATGGACAGCGACTCTTAGCCAAGGTAAATGCCACCCACCTGCCCTAGAAGAAAACCCTAACCCCAGGTCTCTGGCCTCCCAGCAAAGTGGGCAAGACGCTCCTGTGGGGCGAGGAGGAAAGCCAGGGGCATCATGGCTTTATGGAGGCCTCTGCCCTTCCACGGCAGTTCTAGACAAGGTTAATTTCTCTTGTGCCGCAGCCTGGCGTGCTTTTAGGAGATGTATAAAGCTACCTGGGCAAAAGTTAAGTCCTTGGCCATATGGGCCAGCACAGAGGGCACCCACCAGGACTCCTGGGTTCTATTCTTGGCACTGTGTGGCCTTGGGCAAGTCATTTCACCTCTCTGTGCCTCAGGCTCTCCCATCTATAAAATGGGGGTGATGACACTCCCCCTGCTCTCAGAAGCTCTTTGCTAACTCTAGCTGGGACGCATGCTAAGCACAGATCCAGTTGCAGGATTGGGTCCTGTGATTGTAATGTCCCCATGCTCATCTCCCAGCACCTGGAAGACTGCCACTGACCTGAGCCGGTAGACCTCCTCAAAACACACTTCCTCCAGGAGGCCTGTGCGCCCTGTAGGTACTTGCTAGATAAGGCAGCAACGTCATGAGCCTACAAGGCCTGTAAGACAATAGCTAACCTAGATCGTAAGTTACCACAAGAGAGAATGCTGCTGTAGTGACTGAACGGCTGACAGGTAACCACAGGATGCTAGTCTGTAGCAGTTCGGGATATTTTACATTAGGAACATCAGCAGATGTCTGACCACAAGAATGCCATGGTAACTAATTGACATATATGCTAATAAACTTGAGTTAATCTGACTAGTGACCTATGGGAGAAGGGTACCCCAACAGTAGCAGGGTGAGGAAATACAAACAAGGAAGAGGGGAGTATGCCTTAGGCATAGGGGTGTCAGCAACCCGGCCTCTGAGCCTTGGGAGAGGCCAGGTGGACGACCACTGGTGATGATAATAATTATACCACTGGGCATGATCTTGGGATAAGAACCTACCAAACCTCAGTGTAATCAATGTAATTAATACACAATCAATACATCAGGCAACACCTATATGCAGTTAAGTGTTAACACACACACACACACAAATCATGGAACTAACATGACAGGAAGCAAACAAAACCCATCAGTCACTTGCTTTGCTGTCTCCATTCCTCCCAGCCTTTGTTCAAATTATGAGCCTTGTCCTCATAGCGGTCTGTAAGACACCTGGCAAGTTCCTCATGTTAGCAGCATTTGCCGTTCTAAATGTTCACCCCAGACAGAATGGTATTTTCTGAGACCTCCGCTGAGTGGGCCAGGACTGCGTTAGATACACTGGCTGGGTGTTGGGCTAGTTGATTTTTATAATTTCTTGCATCTATGATTGTTACGTAAGCTCCCGGGGTAATGGACATTGATTGCGACTTCTAGGTTATTATGATTGGTATTGCGGTAGCATCTAAAAACCCCATTCACGGACGAGGAGCTTGGGGGGCGGGGGGCTAGGTGCTGGACAAGCAGAGAACAAAAAGACAATCCGTGCCACAAAGAACTTCCAATCCAAGTCTACGCGAGACAGACCGATGAGGGGAGCACATGGAAATAACACAGTACTGGTGGGCATGATGAACAGCGATCTCATCACACCTCTCCGATGGCCAGGTTTGGAGGGCACCACTGCCCAGGCAAGTTTTCAGGAAAGAATTTGAAGCGGGACAATGAAGCGGCCTTGACTTGCTGAGATAAACAGTGATCCCAAACCTATTTACGTGACGATTTCCCAGCCACTCCAAACTGCTCTTGAACATGCCTGTCAGTATAGATAGCCTTTCTGGGGTCTCTGTATTGATTCTCCGTCCATGATTGGTTCCATCTAGCCAAGCTCTCCTTCCTTTTTCTGCCTGTCCCATTGGCTGGTCCCATGGCTGCTCTAATTCCTTTGTTCCCGTCCCCTGCAGTACTACGACGACACCTTTCCATCCACGAAAGAACAGAAGACCTTTGAGAGGAGTGTTTTCGATAAAACCCACAAAACTGACAGTAAGTAGCTGAGTTTTGGGTAGAGGACCAGAAGATGGAGAGGAGGGTTTTCCTATATGTTCCTGCAGGCCACTGGCTGTTTATATCGCTAGGTGCTACTTGAAGTTTGCCAGCAGTTGTGCATCCCTTGGGTTATGTGATAACGTCTTTCTCCCACTGGCATTGCAGTCCAGGGAGGGGTCACAATATTGACGATAACACCCTGGAGGTGATCATCTCAGATCACTCCAGAGAATAGCACAAGGACGCTGGCAAGGCCTGTACAACGTCTCAGGTCACACAACCGCTGGCCCAGGAGGTTGACAAGCGGAGCTTGCAACACCTGAGATGGGGTCTTTAGTTCAGCCCTGTGCCGTTTACGATACTGCGACCAAGGGTGGGTAGGAAGCTGCAAGACGTGGAGAGGGTTCAGGAGTCCCAGAATGCACTGGGGCCGTCACAGTCACTTGCTGGCAAATCAGGAGCAGCATTGCCATGCTGGGCTCACTGGACTGTTGATGGCGAAAGGAGACGACCAGGAACTTAAAGCATTTGATGGCCCTCCCAGGGTGTGGGTGCTCCGCCCGCTGCCCTGCTGTAGGGGTGAGCCAGGTTTCCCGTCCCATCTCCCCGTCTGGACGGCCTGTTCTTACGTTACAGAGATCTGTGCTCAGCGCCAGCCTAACACCGCCCCCTTCCCCCCCTTCTCCTTCCCTCCCGTTGTGTCAGGTGAGATCGCCTTTCTGGAGGGGCTGACCATTGTCTATAAAAGCAGCATCGACCTCTTTTTCTACGTGGTGGGGAGTTCCCAGGAAAATGAGGTAACTCCCTGGGGCCCGCTCCTCCCAGAGGATAACAGAGCCGGAGGGCCCGCTTGCTGCTGGGAGTTTCTTCTCTTTCCCCGCTCACCCTGTCCTGTGGGAGAGAGGCACTCCGTTCCCACTCACCGGGCTCTGCACATGGAAGGCCCTTCACGTCCCCAGGCCCTGCCCCGGCTCTGTCTGTCCTTGCCCTGCCCCACAGGGGCTTGAGGGGGGATTTGTCTCCTCTTCCCTGACGTGCCCAGGGTCCCGATGCATGTTCCTAGGAGACTCGTGGACGCTGTAGCCATGGCTTTCTGTCCAGCTGGCAGTAATACGATTGCTGTCTGTCAGGCACCCTGAGACCCAGGGGCTGCTGGGAGAGCGAGCGTGGGAGGGAGGGCCCCGTGGGCAGCTCTGCGCCGCGTTGATCCATGTCTCCTTCTCCTCCTTTAGCTGATGCTAGTGGCAGTTCTCACCTGTCTCTTCGACTCCCTCAGTCACATGTTACGGTGAGTACATGGCGACGGCCAGAGCTCCCTATCCCATCTAGCAAGATTGCCCAGGGACAGGCTCCAGGGTCCCAAACTGGCTCTAATAACATCAGCCCTTTGCATTGTCTCAAAGCCCTTTACCCACACGAAGGAATCAAGCCTGAAAGCCTGGGGTACGGGCAGTGCCTAGCACACCATGGGCGCTAGCAGAATACCTCAATAGCAGCCCGCTGTGGGGTGGCTGCTATGCTCTCCATTTTACAGATGGGGAAACTGAGGCACAGAGAGGGAAAGTGACTCACCCAAGGTCACCCAGAGACTCAGTGGCGACGCCCAGGAGTCCTGACTCCTATTCCACGCTGTAACCACTAGATCGCACCTGCTCTTCTTGCTGGAAGGGAACTCAGGAGACCTGGCTGATTGCTCTCAGCATGAGACTCCCGTATGCCAGGCATGCCGCAGAGCTGGAGACCAGTTCCCGTTGCAGGGCCTTGGAATGAGACAGCGGGTGTCACCTTTCCCCCAACACATGAGGGCCTCTGGTCTCCTGAGCAGCTGGGAGTGGGGGGAGGTCTCTGCAGCTGCGCTGGGACTCACTGCTACGGAGGAGCGCCGGGTCTGGGTGCTGGTGCTACGGAGCGTCCCAGACTCTCACCGGCTCATCCTGTCTTGCCCTCAGGAAGAATGTAGAGAAGCGCTCCCTGCTGGACAACCTGGACGGGGTGTTCCTCGTGGTGGATGAGATCGTCGACGGGGGGTGAGGCGCCATGTGCAGTTGCTCTCTGGGGCTTCGCTCGGAGCTGGGGCGGGGAAGAGAGGGAGAGAGCAGATGGGCTAGTCAGGCACTGAGGGGAGAGCGGCCAAAAGCCTGAAAGTCCTGGGAGGACGAAGGAGGCGTCAGAGCCAAGGTTCCCAGTACAGTGTTGGGTGCGGGCCGGCGGCTGGCTCGCGGCACGAACCTTCCATCTCTGGGTCTCCAGTTCAAATCTAGCCCATGTCGGTAGTAACCCAGAGCCTTTACCATCTGGTGGCTGCTGATGGCCAACGTGAACTGAGTTTGGCAAGTCTCAATCCAGCCCCCAGTGGACCAACCACAGCCACTGTCGGCGCCAGCCGACCCCTTTGTCAGCAGAGTACCGAACAGGCCAAGACAACGGAACTTCACAGCCACCGCTGACACCACGACCCGGTTCTTACATTGCGCACCTTGCTATCCAGAGCTCTCAAAGCGCTTTGCAAAAGAGGGCAGTATCACCACCCCCATTTTACAGATGGGGAAACTGAGGCACAGAGAGGCCAGTGGCAGAGCTGGGAATTGAACCCACATCTCCTGAGTCCCAGTCCAGTGCCCTATCAGAGCTGAGGTGCGCTGGTGGGGAGGGAGGAAAAGCTTGCCTGCTAGGGCCTATGCTGTACCCGTTCTTGGGGCAAGGAGAGGGGGTCAGTTTCCACGGCTGTCCATCTGGCCCCTTGCCCCAGCTCAGAACTCACGCCCATTTTGTAGCAACGGGGAGCAAACGCACCATGAAAGCGCCCTTAAGAGAGCTGTGATCTGATTGGAAAATCCCATTGCTCCCCCTGGTCCTAGGGTGATTCTGGAGAGCGATCCTCAGCAAGTGATCCAGAAGGTGAACTTCAGGGTGAGTGCTTCCCGCTGCTCCCCTTCACTTCTCTGCCCTTGGAGCCCTCTGCTTTAATCTCCCTCTTTAACTCTCTCCACCCCAGACGGTCTCGGAGCCTGCAGCATACGGGTTTGTTCTCTTTGATTACATCGCCAGTAACTCAGAGCAAAGTGAATCCGTGCCTGCCAGCGGCGGCAAATAGGCAGCGGCCAGCTGGGAAGCAGGTGTGAGGTCACTTCCTTCTAAGCATGTCACACGTGGCCCCGCTACGTGGCCGTGGGCTAGCTGGGTAGGTCACGCCCTCTTCTGCATGCCACGGGTGACTTTGGAGTGGCTGTCAGGCTTGGAGAGATTCTGTTTTCTTATTCATTGTTAGTTTCTGCTCCATCCCCAAATCTTTAACAAACAAAACTGACAGAGGGAGCGGGAAGGGACAGATTTTCACACGGATCCAGCACCCAACATCTCCCATTTAGGCCCTAAACAGAGCTGCTGGGCTTTGAGCACTTTTTAAAATGTTCCCAGTAGGATACCGTACTCTCATAAAGAACTAGAGTCTCCTGCTGCCTTCAACGGTATCGGACAGATATGATTATGGAATATTAACGATGGCACATGATTTTTATCAACAAACCTATTGCAAATCTCAACTGTTGCTAGCTTTTGACTAACTAGCAAGGAGTATCCACGTTTATTTCCGGCCAGGACGGAGTTTGTTGATAAAAATATTGTAAAAAAACAAAGTTCTCCTAAATAAACATCAAGTGCCTTCAAAATGGATTGAAGCTAATTGGATCGTTCCAAGCCTGGAGTAGCCGTGTGTGCTTGCTTCTGGGGTTGTCCCATTTGAACTCTGGGCTCAAGGAGAGATCTAAGCAACGCTAACAGAGTGAGAATTTCGCTGCCTGCTAAAGAGTTTTCGGCAATACCCATTTGTACCGAGGTTGTCCCCGTACAAAGTTCATGTCAAGGCGTAGCTGGGTCCCGAACCTTGTGGGGTTACGGTATAACAACTCTGCCCATGACGCGGTTATCTAGTCATTACCAGCTTCTGACATGGTTGTCCTGCTGTTGGAAGGTCTAACTGAGTAGATGTAATCAAATTAACCAGTCGTCCTGCGTCCCAGGAGGATATCCCAGTGCACACTGCATGGGCAGTCCTGTGCACCAACAGCTAAGGCATTGTGGGATAGCCAGCAGAGTTTCCCACCATGCACTGTTGTATGGTGGGGGGTGAAAAATCCAGCATGGTTGCCACAGGGCACACGGGGCTCCGTGAACACACTGAGTTACATTAGCTGTGCGCTGTCCGCTGAGTACGTCCAGAGTTACGCTTGCCGTGCTTGGACCAGGGCCTAACTCGGAAGCAAAGGGGAGAAGTAGAACTGTCCCAAGCAAGAGTTGCCTCTTCCACAGCAACTGATCTGTACTGATGCAATGGGAGCATGTGAGCCCAGAGCTGCCCGGGCATGTCATTAGCCAGAGCGGAGGCGGTTGTTCTATTTGAGAACAGAGTAAACAAATACAGCGGACACGCCAGCCGCATGGCGTTTCCTAATCCAGCTCCCCCCAAGATGGTTGGAAACAGCTGTGACGGGAGGCGCTGCTCTCTCTGGCGCGCTCGGTGTTTGCGTAACACAAGCCCTGGGCTGATAGCGGCATGGCCGCAGGGAGCTGGGAAGGAGAACGGCATTCCACCGCCGTGATGTCACTCCAAGGGGCTCCAGGGGGCTGAGCCGTGGACTGCAGGGCAGCTGAGCGAACCTTCATCAGGGGTTCTCTTGCAATGCGCATGTGTGTGGGCCAATAAGAATAAATAACTGGCGTAATGTCGTGCACGGCTCTGTCTGAGGATCCCGAAGTGCTTCACCTCATAAAACTCCCATAAGGCAGGGGAGGGCTCTGCCGGGCTCACTCCCCCCATGGCTGAAATGCAGCCACCTCTGGGGTGGAACGTGGCAGCTGTTTTAACAGCCGCCCAGCACCACAGGAAGTGCAGCCTGTTTCATTCAGATGAACCTACAGAGGGAAATTAGGACACGATCACCTGACTGGGAACAAGGCCAGGTCACTGGGGTTAATGCCCCGAAGTGCCTACGGGTCTTTAATGCTGGCAAACAGTCATAATGACTTCAGGTTTGTGTGTTGCCCCAAATCTGACTCTCCAGAGAATAGCTCACCCTAGCCTCAGTGTAGCAGGGTCCCTGCTGGGCCCACCTGGCTCCTGAGAAAGTCACTCAGAGTCCTTCGTTGCAGTACTCACCTGGTGCTTTATTTTACAAGTAGTGTTCCCACCACAATACACACAATCCCTTTCTGCTTGTCTACCAGCAGGAGAGGGGACAAGCTACTCCTCCCCTTAGTGCAGCTTCCCCTCTTCCCAGGGAGGGGACAAGCTACTCCTCCCCTTAGTGCAGCTTCCCCTCTTCCCAGAGAGGGGACAAGCTACTCCTCCCCTTAGTGCAGCTTCCCCTCTTCCCAGCTCCAGTCCTGGCTTCCGTCCCCGGGGGCTTTTATCCCGATGAGGCAGAGCTGTTCCAACTTCCCCAGTTAGGGCCAGGTGATCCACCCAGCTCCAATTCACCTCCCTTAATTGGAGCTGGAGTGCCAGAGGGTTGGCTTAGCACCCTGTCACACTCAGGCATTGGCTTTAGGGCCTTGCTAAGGAATGAGGCCAGCAAGTCCCTACGAGTGCTTCTGAAAAATCTCATGCAGGGTCCCCCATCCAAGTGCTGAGCCCGCCTGCATCTACCTAGCTTCCTCGTAGCGATGGGATCCCAAAGCAGGCGGCCTGGCTAGAGGCGAAGGCACATGCAGACGCGCTAGCGCCCTTGGGGAGTGGTGCAGGCGCACACACCCTAACACAGCACCCATCGCATCTAGTGGAGGGGCGCTTGCCCTCCAGCCTGCGTGATCTCCCCCCCACGCGCGCGGCCCAGTCCCAACCTGCACCTACACAGAACGGCCACCCACGTTTCAGTCCTCGCTGCCAGCCTGCACCTCCCGCCAAGCCAAGGCAAGAGGCTGCGGCTCAGAAAGCCGCAGCCTGGAGAGAGCCAGGGAAGCCAGAGGTTGGTTTCTGCGCCTCCCTTGGGGCTGCCCCGGGTTAGCTCCCACTCTGTCTCCTGGCCATTGTCACCTGCACCATGAACGCACTATGAATTATCCGAGCCCCTCTGATCTGCTCCCGCCATGTACCCTGTCTGATCCATCAACTCGCTCCCATCCCCTTCCCCCAGCCATCTCCCTCCTTAAACCTCCCTGTCCTTTTCCTTCCTTTAGGTGGACGATAGCCCTCTGTCTGAGCAAAGCGTTGCCCAGGTAAGGGTCCCAGGACTCCCCTTTCCTCTCTGGGGGCTGGCATGGGAGGGCAGCTCCTTGGGAGTGGAGGAGGCCTGGTGAAGTGACTGCCCCTGGGGCACCAGCATGGAGGAGATAGACACCATGCGCTGCAGGGATCAGCTCCAGGGCACACTGCTAGCCATTGGGAGCGCCCTGGCAGGGCTGTCACACAAGGAGGAGTAATGGGTATTCTATAGTCCCAGTCCCTGGGGGCACCCAGACCCGTAGAGGGGTCTACCCCTTGGGGCTGTCTGCACGGAGGGGTTTGTCAGAACCCCCCTTCCCTTGCACCTGTAGCATTAGTACAGCACATCCCAACATTGGGAGCTGTCAGCCTTTAAATCACCAAGTCCCACTCACAGCAGTGTGTCAATATCCCTTTCCGTGGCCAAGGAAGTTTCCGTGCCCCCCGTGATGTGTATCTTTAGCCCCATTTAAAGGCCTTGTGGCACAGAGAGGTGAAGTGAATTGACCAGGTTCACACAGCATGTCAAACGCAGGAGAGGGAACTCACCAGTCCTGATTTATAATCTTCTGCTCTAACCCCCCAGCCGACACCCACCTCCCTCTAGACTAGAACCCCGGAGTCTTGACTCCCAATCACCAGACCACACTCCCCTTCCCGAGCCAAGACCAGAACCCAGGCGTCCTGACTCCCAATTCCCCCGCTCTCACCACTAGGCAACACTTTGGGGGTGGCCGGGAAAACATTGGAATGGAAATGTGCTATGCCTGGAACTCACGGGCCGCTAGCAGGCTTGGCTCTGCTGCGTCCAGCCTCGTGACAACGCGCCTGAGCGCCCACAGTAGGTTTGTGAGTCGGCAGACCAAGCCCCCAGCTCCACCTGGTTCCTCAAATAGCCACTCAGGACGGGGCAAGGTGAGTGGGTGGCTTGGAGACAGGGCATCCCTCTCTGGGCAGGTTCCTTACATCCCATGCTGGGCGGGGGGAGAGGGGGTTCTCCAGGCTGCTGGAAAGACAGGGTCTGCCGGGGAGTATCAGCAGGAACCTTGCGATGCCCCTCACGCGCTCTCTCCTTGCAGGTCTTTCTGTCTAGACTAATCCCGTCAGCATGAGCCCTGCGGCTGGGCTGTCCGTGTCTAACCCAGCACTAACCACCTTCTCACGCCAGGCCGAGTAAGTGCCTCCCACAGCTGGGCCCCTCTCTGCACATGCCTCTGTTGCTTGTCGCTGCAGCACCCAAGTCACTTCCCTTAACCCCTTCCTTCCTTCACCTCCAAAGACCCAGCTGGAAAACACCTCCTTGCCCCGGTGTCGGCTCTGTATACACAGTGCGGCCAGCGCGTGCTGTGCCCACTCACCTCGGTGCATGGCTGGCATCATACCACTCGTAGGGAATTGCCTCTCTCTTCTGTACTAATTCCCCTCGCCCCAGGGGGCTTAGCGCGTTTCCACCCATAGACATGCCCAGTTGTGCAAGTTGCCGGGTGGTCAGGACGGCTGGACGGAGAAGCCCATTTGAGATTGAGGGTGGGGAGGCTAAAAAATGATATTAAACCACGACTAGAGTTGCCCGGGTTCTTTGACAGTACGTGGTCACCTGTTGTAATGGTCCCAACCACCGGATTCCCTTTCCTGGCTGCTAAACGCCCTCTGTGGTATGTAATTGGCATGTGTCTCCAGGGTGATCACAGCTTGGAGTGCCCAGTAAGGTCTAAAGCCAGTTCCCATCAGCACTGATGTCTTTGCTCCTTGGAAAAAAATCTACCCTCTACGTTGGATCAGGACCTGTATTTGGTGGACAGGTGCGAGGGGCCTGGTTTTAAACATCAGTTCCAGCCAGCATTTCCCCTGAGCTGCGATATGCAGACCCCAGTGTGAAGGCCTCCTAGATCCGGGGATGTTCAAACCGGGGGTTCTTTGTAGGATCCAACTCTAGCCCCAGCAAACTGTTGGTGGGGTAGCACCTGCTGATTGGTGCTTAGTGTCCAGGATGCCGACTGAGGCTAAAATGGGGTTCCCGGACATACCTAATTCCTGGAATGGAGTTTGCTGGCTTGGGTAGAGCCTTCTTCAGCTGGAGGGAGGGTCACTGAGACCTGTGCAGAGGAGAGAAGTGCCTTCCCCCATGACATTGCAAAACTGCTGCATCTTCTTGGGCATTTGAGCCTGGAGAGCAGCTGGAGGGCTTTGGAGAACAAGGGGAATCTATGGCTGTCGGGTCTCTGGGAGTTGAGTCCCTGTTTCCTTCCAGGGATGGAGGGAACTATAGAAATAAACAGGCAGAAGGAGCTAATTCACCCCCTTCTCAGGAGCCCTTGCTACACAGGTGCCACTCCTGCTGTATTGAAGAGGCACATCTGCCACCTAGTGGCTGTTTGAGGGAAATCAGGATGCAAACCACCCTGCTTGTCTCATGGAGAATCAGAAATCTCCCTCTCTTGAATGGGGCAGGTTTATGTTGGCACCAAATGGGTCTCTTGGTGCCCGTGAAGGAGTCCTGCTGAGGTCATATGGAGTCGTAATCCGTTTGCAGAATCCCGGAGGCTGTGGGGCTTAATGTCTCTCTGTTTTTCTTCTCCTTTCCCTCCCCCCACTTCCTTAATAGGTTCTGCAATCTGCCAAAGAGCAAATTAAATGGTCCTTATTAAAGTGAACGTCCCAGAGGAGAGCGCCTGGATCCTCCCGATTGGATGGGTCTGAACTGTGATGGCAAATGATTCCTCGCCTTATTCGATTAGCCGTTTGCAAATTGGCATGAAAAGTCTGATAAAAGCTTTTGGGTAGGATGCAAGATGGCTGACATTGGCCGCGCCTCCTGGGGGAACGCCAGCCTTCCACGGACACGGGTTTTAACCCGGTCTCGGTACCATGAAATTCTCTGCATGCTAAAGGGGAGGGTGGGTTATTAACTGGTTAACAGACCAAATTCTGCTCACTATAAATGAAGAGTGACGTCGATGGGGTTATTTCAGATTGACAATGGTGTAACAGAGAGCAGAACCTGGCCCAAGATCCATAAAGAACTCCAGAACTATTACTGTTATTTAAGGACTGAATAGGCGGATTGATCATATGTAGTTACACCAACTAAAGCGCTGCGTGAGACTCAATTAGAATTTTGTTTGGTACTAGCCGAGCCAGAACATACCCTAGTTGAATCTTCAGTTTCACCAGTAAAGAGCTTGGCTCCTTCTTTTGCAGGGCTGTCACTAGTGCCGGCACACTTGTTGATCAACGCAATGCCTGAGACTTTCAAAACCATAGGAAGGGATTTGCATGCCCTTTTCTCATTCAAACAAATGGGGCTTGGGCATCCAGGTCGCCCTAGGCTCTTTAGAATATTTCAGTCACTTCCAAAATCTCTTCCGCTGTCTCCCAAGGCAACCTTTGGTCCCTTTTGAGGATGGCCATGCCTGTGCAGAGGGTCGGCGTGAAGTAAGTGCCACTGTCACATCCTCCCACCTGCAGGGTGGGGATGAGTGCACAGGAATCATTGTCACCCTGTCAGAGTAAGATTCAAAACTTCCCAATGATGACCACTAATAACCCCCCCAAACTCTTACAAGGTGTTTTTCATCGGTAGATCTCAAAGCACTTTACAAAGGAGATCAGGTCATTATACAGATGGGGAAACTGAGGCACAGAGCGGGGGGAGTGACTTCCCCAAGGTCATCTAGTTGGCCAGTGGCAGAGCTAGGAATAGAACCCAGGTCTCCCGAGTCCCAATCCAGCATTCCAGCCACTAGGCAGCACTGCCTCCCTCATGCAGCTTTGGCGGTCGTTAATTTTGTAAAAACAATCCTGCTGCAAATAGCTGTCGGCTCAAACATCACTAAAGGACCCGGCTATGGTAAAAATCCTATTTTCAGAATGATCATGTCCTTCCCTTTAACACCCCAGATTATCAATAGCAAGAAAAAAAAATAAAAATTGAATGAAGGAGAATTGGCTAGCTGTGTGATACTTACTTCAGCGAGGGCTTGGTACATTTCAATCCATTTCTGTAAACTGGGCATGCCCAGCGTCTTTTATGATCAACAAATAAAGTTTTATAGCACATGGATCATTTTTCCCTATTGGTCTCTCCTGTCTGTAATGCATGTGGGTCCTGGCCTGCTCCTATTACTGTGCCATGCAGAATTAAGACTGTCACTTTTTCCATTACAGGGCTTGATTTTTTGAGGGGTTTATAAATCATCCATTAAAATCACTCCGGACGCAGGCCTGGGACGTGTCTATTTTTGTTAAATGTTTTCCCTTCGGTGGCAGCAGCGCTCCCGGGGAGCCTGCATTTGTTATCTTTGCAGTGAACTTCTGCACCCTGCGGCTTCGTACCATGGCTGTGAGGGGGCTGAAATATTTATTTTACTTCGGGACAGCAGATCTGTTTCATGGCCTAGTGTACATGAAAAACGGTCCGGTCTGCCTTCAGCCCCCACGGCTGCTGAGTGTGTCCTCACAGCACTGTAGGGCCAGGAGTCTCTCTCACAAAAGGGAACGGCTGGTGATTTTTCATTAGGAGCCACTAGAAGCAGCGTGGATCAAATGCGTAAGTGTGCTAGGGTGAGCAGATAGCACCTGTGAAAAACCGGGACAGGGGTGGGGAGGTGATAGGCGCCTATATAAGAAAAAGTCCCAAAAAACAGGACTGCCCCTATAAAAACGGGACATCTGGTCACCCTAAAGTGTGGGGGGGACTATCTTTTGACATCTTGCTTTTTAGCAGGGGCAGGAAATATGTCTGGAGTGGACCCAGGGTGACAGAATAGGGTGATCACCAGATAGCAAGTGGTAAAGGAAGGAGGGGTAATAGAGTCCTGTATAAGACAAAGCCCCTAATATTGGGACGTCTACTCACCCTAGCGCCAAGAAAGTCGCTCTGTTTGGGGTGGTCTCCAGGAGATTCAGACCTGGCTCCTCATCTCTTGGGAACCTCATGCACGTGGCCTGGCCTGGGCTCCTCCAAAGCTCTCCAGCTAAAGCCAGGGCTCTCTCTAATCACGGCTTGATTTCTCCTCCTTTTGTGATGGTCCCTAACGCCTCGGCTTGGGACTGTCTCTTGTTCCTCGCTCCCTCGCATGAGACAGAGCGTTTTCATAACCCCGCCCCTAGCCACTCGAGACTCCTCCCACAGCCCCGATTAGCCCCGCCCCCCGCGGCTCCCCATTAGTGATCCTGCAGCGCCACCTGCTGGCGGACACTGGGATGGCATTGTTCAGGAACCAAACCCCATCTTTAGAGCCTCAAGCGCTCCCAGTCTCCATCCCTACCCCCCTACCCCTTTTCCCCATAATCCCCAGACCCCCAACTTCACCCTTTTCCCCATATCCCCCCCGCCCCATAGCCCCCCAACTCCACCCTTTGCCCCATACTCCCTCCAGCCTCACAGGTCCCTTTAGCCAGTCTCTTTGCCCACTCCCAACCTGCCAGGCTCCCTACTCCTGCCCCAGAGTCCTGCACCCCCTTGTCTCTAGCCCCTCCTAGTCCAGAGGGCTTAACCTCCTGCTCCTCAGGCCTGAGTTTCTCTTCCCCAGCCCCATTTCATCCTTTCAGCCCCACCCCCCAGCACCAGCCATTCACTCTGGGGCCTTTGCTCCACTGTCCCAGGTGTGAGAAGGAGACCTGAGGGTCTTGGCTCCTCACACAGATGCACCCCCCGCCCCCACAACTGCTGGCCTGTGCAGACTGGGCTGGGGGGAGGGTGTCTTTAATTTCCCCAGAAAATGTCAGTGGCCCATCGTTCACAAGCAACCCTACACTGACAAATCAGTGCACACAGATCAGTCTGGGGGTGACCCTACAATAACAAACCAGTTCACACAGACCAGACTTGGGGGAGACCTTAAAATAACAAGCCAGTACACCCAGCACTCATCAGCAACCCTACAATAACCAACCAGTACCTGGGAGTAGCCCTACTATAACAAACCAGCACACCCCTCCCCGTGCCGGCGGGGGGTGGGTGTAGAGGGATAGTTGAAAAATACTTTGATGAGCCTCCCGTAAAAGTGTGTCTGGCTGGACCCTGCTGTGGGCAGGTGCCGAGCAGCAGCGGCAGCAGGCGGGGGGCTCTCTGACCAGCTGGTCCCCGCAGTGGCTCAGACCTGCATTCTCATCAGCAGGGTCAGCGCTCCCAGGGACACCACGCTTCGGGAGCCCCCTCCAAGGCAGGGCTAGGGGTACAGATGCTGCTCCTCGGGGCCTCTGCTGGGCGAGGGCTGGAGCGGGTGGGACTTTCCTCTCCATTCCTCCTCTTTACCAGGAATTGTGGTTACCCGCAGCATTGTCCTCCTGGGGCTATGACCTCCTTGGGAGATTCCAGCACCTCATTCCCTCTGGTCCCTGCTCCTGCCGGGGAGTGGGGAAAGAATCTTCTCTCCTTCCCGCCTCTTCTGCAGCCAGCCAGCCTTTCTTTCTTTTGCCTCTTGTCCTTTCCTTCCTTCTCCCTTTCCTCAGATCCTCCCTCCAGCTGCCTTTGACGTGCCAAAGATGCCAGCGACCACCCCTGACGAGATGGCTCTGCCCCTCGAAGCATCTGCCACGCAAGCCGTATCCCATACGAGGCAGAGGGCAGCTGGTATAAACTCCATGGCCCAGCAGCTTAAGGGGCTGGGGTCAGGGTTAGGGAGTGCAGGGTCTCTGGAACCACACATTCAAAATCCAGCAGGACCCTTCTAAGGACGTTGCTTTGCACCGTCATTAAAGGTGCAGGGCACTTCACAGAAGAGGAGGGAAGGGTCTGCCCCAGTGGTGGTGGGGCTGTATGCTGGATGTTTTGGGGATCGCTCAGGGCATTAAGGGTTCTGTCACCGCCTGCCCTGTAATTTTGGGTGTCTTAATGTGACACTGCTTTGGCTCAGAGCCCTGACACCAGTAGCCAGCCCACAAGAATAAAGGTCTCACTTTGACTTCCACTAACCTAGTTACTCCTTTCAGGGTGACCACACCAGCCCTTCCAGTCGCAAGTCTCCCCGAATCATCTCCCCGAGTTCTCAACTACCAGACACGCAGACTTTCCCCCTCTGGTTCATCAGCTCAGTTTGTCACACACAATCCGCACAGTTTGCACAGCAGAGACCTGGGGGTAAAAATAATCAGAAGGTATAATGAATAGAAAAACCACAGACTCAAAGCTGAGGTAGTGAGGGAGAGCTAACGCAGACAAGCCACACAGAAAATACACATACGGACGCAACTTTAGGCTTTCCACTTCTCTACTAGCTAAATTCCCTTTTCTAATATGAGATACTTATTGCCTCTGGACAGTTTCCCAGTGTACCCATCATAGAGGGGACCAGCGTTTCACAAACAGCGCCATGCCTAGACGCTGGCTCTCGGTTTCATCAAACCCCCTCCCTTTTAACACTTTGCCATTTTTTTCCTTTCACTCAGACTATGGTGATTCATGGTGGGGGAAAGTCCTGCCTCTCCGGCAGCGTGGGCTTGTCTACACTTGAAATGCTCCCATTAGCATAGATAATCCACCTCCCCAAGAGGCAGTAACTAGAAGAATTCTTCCATTGACCTAGCGTTGTCTGCACAGGGACTTGGGTTGGCTTAACTTTGCCACTTGGGGGTATGGATTTTTCACACCCCTGAACGAAGTAGTTATACTGACCTAATTTTCTGGTGTAGACCAGGTCTTAGTTTTCCAAGACCAGGGTTTTCTTTTCAGTTTCAAGTTGTTTCCATGTTTTCCCATTATCTCTAATGGTCTACCATTGTCTTTCCCTGGCTGGACAATGGTACCTGAAGTTAGTTTCCAGACCCCTTGTTCTTCCCTTGGGGTGTCTGGATCCTGATTGTCACATAGCCCCACCCCAGAACTGTCTGTTCATAGCTCTGAAGGCATTCGGGATGGAAGACGCCTTGAAACATACGTGGTTATGTTAAAGGCGAGGCAAGGCGAGTTTGAGAGAAGGGGCACAGGGCGCGGGAGAAAAGAGCTGGGGATAGAAATGGGGTGGAGACGGAGCTGCAGAGGAGACGGACGACTCTTGCAGTACCTGCGGGGAGAAGTGAGGTGAGGTGGGCTGGAAAGACCAATGGAGTGATTGGAAGGGGAATGGGAGAGTCCCTGCTTTTGCCTCCAGGCTGTGACCGAAGGGCCTCGAGCTCCTGTTCCTACTGCCTCACTGCTCCATGGAGCCGGATTGGCGAGCTCCAGTCACTCGGCCTGGCCGCCAGCCAAGCCCCGTTCCTGCTGGCACCAGTCTCCCCAGACAGCTTCATGAGCTGTTGGCATGTGGCTGGCTTGTCCCAGCTTGGAGACAGAGCGCAAGGGGCAGTGCCTGGGTACCAAAGGCACAAATTGCTCCTCCCCCACCCACGGACGAGCTGTGCCTCGCAGCTGCCGCTCAGCAGAACAGCCTCAGCAGGGGAGGGTGGGTGGTCCAAGAATCCATTCTTCTGCCTCCCACCCTCACCCATCTTATTGTCTCGTGCTCTTTTCCTGGGGGGGAGGGGAGGATCCCCCCATTTCTCACTTTCCTCCCCCAAAGCCTCCCCTGCTGGGCTCACGCTAGACCCCAACACTGCTGCTCCCCAAGTTTAAAGGAAGCTGGGAGGCCCTGGGGGGAAGTGCACAGGTCGGGTGCAGGACGCAAGGTGGCATGGGGGTGCAAAGTGTAGTACCAGGGTTCGGAGCAGCTGCACTGTAAGAGTGTTCAGGGGACACAGTACAGCACCAGGGTTTGGGGTGCAAGCGTGGGGCAGTGCTGGGGTTCAGTGAGCATGGGGCAGCACTGGGGCTTGGGTGTGGCTTTGAGGTTCAGGGAAGAGGCAGGGTAGCATGGGATGGCCCTGCCGCCCCTCCCTGAATCCCAGCATCATTCTGCTCCCTGAACTCCAATGGCCACCCTGCATCCCCCAAACTCCTGCAACCCCTCCCTGAATCCCAGCGCTATTCTAGCCCCTCAAACTCTGCTACCACCCTGCCTCCCCCCAAATCCCGATGCCACCTTGCACCACACTGGTCCCCTGGTGCCCCCCTGCCCCCCCCCGAACTATGCCCCACAAATTCTATTACAGCACAGGTCCCCTGAACCCCGGTGCTGCATTTTG